CAATGCCTAAGGCAAAGCTAAAGAAACGACGTTTTTACTATCTTATAAGAATAAGACCATCACATTAATCATAATATAGTTTGTTTTGGCTTAAGTTTGAATACAGTCACTGTGGTTTGCAATATACAGTTTGTTTATCATATGATGTCAACCCAGCCTTTTCATCGTGTTATGTGAATGCAGCATTAGATTTGAATTAGGTCTTTCTTAGTCAAGAACTCCCTTTCTGGGTACAAAAGTTATTTTATGGGTCTCAAGTATGTCAATTTAACCCCTTGTCCCAATTCCTGTAGTAGTAACATAGTTCACAGTAAAAATCAGTACAGTATTTTAATTTATTGAACCAATAACCATTTTCAAATGTTTAAAAAAGTTGAAATTAAATTCAATACAGAGTGTATTTTCCTGTATTATATATGATCAACTTCATTTAAAACAATAAAAATGTATACCTGTTTTTCAAGTCATCAGCATACTAACAGAACAATGGTATAATTTTGTTGTTGGCAAACTTGTAAGGAAAGGAGACAATCAAATGAAAAGAAATGGTAAGGAAGGGCTTTTAAAAGAGCTAGAAGATACTATTTATTCTATACCTTCTCTAGTCAGGGTTCTTGATCTCAGTCTAAGTGATGCACTAAGTAGGGCTATATTGGTGGCTTTCTATGGGTTTTTGTACATGCATGTACAGAAGGTATTTCTGTCAATACTTCTGGTGAAGTGAAGTGGTTCATCTCAGTCCTGTGGTTGGAGGCACTGAGGCAGAAGTGCCTTGGCTGTGCCTTAAAATAAACTCTTTCAATTTAGCTTGATGTGGCTTCATAAGATAGCACCATTTTGTGCAGGTCTAGAGTTGAGGCCTTATGTTTATGAAATGAACAGGATGCAATGATTTTGAAATGACTGCCCTACTGCAATCTATGCCCCTTGCAACAATGTCCAAACCTCTAGGTAAGTTGGCTTTTCCCCTGTGATATCAAAAATGAGTCAGACTTCCTTTCTCCTCCTCCATACCAACATCTCTTTTTGACATTGGAAATTCCAGACATTGTAATGGCTCAAAAGGGGACAGATGCAAGGACAGTAGAAGTTTTAGATCCAAAAGATTTAAAGTTCACTCAGACCTAAGCCGTAGTCATGATTTGGAAAAAAAATTAAAACTTGTCTAAATATTTCTTGCCTGCTATTACTTGTATTTGCTAGTATTTGTTTAAGGGGAAAAAACTGAAAGGACAATGATGTTTTTAAGGGAAAAATGTAGAAAGAATAGTCAACGGATCTTCTTCAACATTTCCACTTCTACTGTTGATAGTTCTTTGGGCATATTGAAATGCTCAAACGTCATAGCTGGATTGCCTTGCCTGAGATTCTAAATTCCACTCTTGTGTTTTTACTTGGTATAGTAGGTGGTTTGAATGTCCCAAGTGTGATATATATAAAACAATAGCACATTAGTTGACTGAAGATAAAACACTTTAAAAGTGGAGGGTCACAGATTATATTGCACCATGTCAAATGTCATATCTAAAGTTTTTTTTTCATAATAACAATTTCATTAAAGCTAGTCAGTATTCATTCTGCCATGCAGAACCTACAGTAGAAATTGCAGTTCATTGATGGTTCCAGTGCCTATAGAAGGCATAGCTCCTTCTAGAAATCTTCTGTCACAAGTGAGCAACTGGTCAGTTAGCCTGTGGTGGTGAGAAAAATCCACAATTTAGATTAGCATTTCTGCAGTTAAATTCATGAATCTACCTTGAAAATAAAGGCACACATAGGTAAGAAAATACAAGTTTACTCTTAATCAGCCCATGATGTTTTCTTAAGATTAGGTGGTATCACGTCTCAATAAACAAATTAACTGTAATAATTTGCTAATAAAGCTAAATCCATCAACACCTCCCCCCCCCCCAGCATTATAGGGAAAATTATTAATTGCTAGCATTTTGTAATATTTTAAGTCTTGCTTAGGCATGTTTACATTTAATTACTTGTGTGGTTCAAGCAATAGTGGACAATCTCTATGTAATAATACACCTAACTGAAATATCAAAAAAATTAATCAAAATAACAGAAGTAGTACTACACATACTTTTCATGTGAAACATTATAGGTTCAGTTCTAGCTTCCTCAGGAAAGGAAAGGATAATTTCTGCCTGAAAACTGGAGAGCCAGCTACTCACACTGCATGATTCTGAGTTACAGTCTGAGCTGAGCTAGGTGTGACTCAGTATATGGCAGCATCCTATGTTTTGGTAACTATAGCAAAAAGTATTAGTTGTATTGATTACAAGCTCTATACTATATAGGCATACAGTTCCATAATCCCCCTATAAAGCAGCTGTGTTCATTTCAGAGAACTAGGTTATTTTCCTCAAGAAGTAACTCCAATGAGGGTTGCCCCTTGGGGAACTACTTTAATTGTTTCTATAAAATGGCATTAGCAAGGAATGGTGCTGTAATGTGAGAGGGTTTTTTAAAAAAAATGCTTGGTCTTGTGTCAAGCAAATTGGGAAGAATGGAGAAAGGAACATGGCCTGCAAATAATAACTGGCAAAGGGAGAGATGCAGGTGAGAAAGACTGGCTAAAATATTCTGACCCAGATACCTGATGGGTCTGGGTAGTTTCCTGAAAGTGCTTGGATAGATTCTCACCTCATCTATCCATTCTGTTGAAACCCTGGATGACATAGGTGTGGCCTAGGTGGCTGATGCTATAACCCCTAAGCACCACCTTGAGCATCCTGGTTTAGCAGGGAGCAATGATGAGGTTAGGGAGAGGGCTAGAGCATAAGTGGAGATAACAATCTTAAGGCCCATTTGAAACCAAAGAATATCTGCAAATTTCAGTTGGCATAAAGGCTGCAGCTAGGCTGCTAACTGGTATAAAATACAGGGATCACATGATGGCTCCATAGAAAGACCTACATTGGTTGTCAGTTGCATACCAGGCAGAATTTAAGGTGCTGGTACTGGTCTTTAAAGTTCTAAATGGTTTGACAGCCTAAGGAATCATTTCTTCTATTTTAAAGAAGTGCTTTTAAAATGCATTTCTTTCACCAAGCTTTTAATTATTAATTTTACTAATTCAATGTTACGTTTTAAACCTTGTGTTTTTGTTTTAAATGTTGTATGCTTGTATAACTAGTACTTATATAAACAGAAGGAGAAATTAAATTTTTAAAAAATGCATTGCCTATAATGTGGCAGTGGTTTATTTAAAAAAAAAATGGCTGGCTGAGTTCATAGAACCAACTGATTCACAAACTAGCCAATTGTAATTTAGTCTAGTATGTTCTGCAAATCCAGCCAATGTGGCTAATTTGAGATTTAGTGTGCCATCCAAGATTTTTTGGCAGAAATATTGTTACTAGGAATAGCAAAAGGATTATTCTATAGTGGAGAACCTGAGGCTAAGAGATTTTGAAAAAAGAAAGTTACAGAATTGAATAGTTACAGGGATGTTACCAACAACATATTTAGAAGGAACACAGATTCATCTTACTCTAGTCTTAGCAAACCCAGATCATGACCATGAAATGCTGTTCGTTCATCATATATAACTTTTAAAAGAAGGCATGATTTGGATGAAACCACTCCAAACAAGAAAGCTGCAATGAATTAAATGATTATTATAATTTATGGTGTCAATTTATAGAACAGAAGCAGATAATTTCTTTCAATCAACTATTTACTTAACTTGCCAATTATGTATCTTCCCATATATCAGTCCTTGGAGGTCAGCAGGGTCAGGATATATGACTCTTGGAATGCAGACACAGCCCCTCTCTACTTCACCTTGTATCTAACACAAATCAAGGTGGAATAGTTTAGAGTTTCTTTCTCACACTTCCTATTTTTCCAGGACTCAAATGTCTTCTGTAATGGCTCAGAATTCTCCCCTTTCTCTGAGTCAACACAACATACCCTCACACACTACTGTTATTTTCTAATTGGTAAGCATTGTTTAAAAAAAAACCCTGATATTTCGTGCAATATTAAATTGGTTTGGGAAGATTAGGTTAAATTGCATGTTTGTTCTACAAACCTAAGGGGTACTAGAAAAAGGTCTGTACATCTTAGTTTAATTAATGTCTCATTTTTTCTTAGTCACTGAAAAAAATCAGCATATTTAAACAAGGATATCTCTTGCTCATTACAACCCAATTTCTTTAGTGAGAAAAAATAGAGACCTAAGCATATATATCTTATGTAAAAAAACTAGTATCAAGGCAAGTTCTTAATTTAATGTAACAATTTTCTTGACATACATGATGTTTGATGTTTTATGACATACTACTATGAAAACAGCTATTAAAGAAAACTGAACTTAATTGGGCATTAAATATTTTACACACAAATGTTTGAATATATAATACATAAATTAGATTTTGAAGAAGCAGAACAGAAAGAGCATTGATGCTTTCAAACTTTGATGTTGGAAAAAACACTTAGAAATACAATGGACAGCCAAGAAAATGAATAAATAGATCATTGAACAAATCAACCCAGAGTTCTCACTCATCACACACATGACCAGGCTCAAATTATCACACTTCGAACACATTATACAAAGACTTCTAATGCTGGGAAAGGTGAAAGGAAAGAGGAAGATGATGACCAGTGTCAAAGTTGATGAACTTAATTACAATGGTGATGGGTACACTCTTGGAACACCTGAAGGACCAGGTTGGGTACAGATCCTCCTGGAGAAAATCTATGTAATCACTAAGAATTGATACCAAATGTATGGCACATAATCATCAAATCAATCAATATATAAATATTTAATATATAAAATTGATATCAATCATATAGTGAAATAATTATGCTTGCAGTGAGGCATTTTAGTTCAATAAAATTATTTTAAATCAAAGCCTTACTTTCCAAAATTTGGTCTAGTGGTTAAGGCACCAGGCTAGAAAGCAGGAGACTTGTTGAGTTCTAGTCCCGCCTTAGGCATGAAAACCGGCTGGGTGACTTTGGGCCAGTCACTCTCTCTCAGCCCAACTCACCTCACGGGGTTGTTGCTGTGGAGAAAATAGGAGGAGGAAGGAGTATTAGGTATGTTCACTGCCTCAAGTTATTTATAAAAATAATAAAGGCAGGGTAAAAAATCTAAAAAACAAAAAAACAATAAAACCTAATCTATGGTTACTGAGATACAAAGGAGTCCTTTAAATTATACAAGTAAATACTGTTTTCAGGTCCTCTATTATATTAATGGAGAAATGATTTTAAAAATACATTTTATAGCTATTATTTTGAGAAATGTATTTCATATTAATCTTGCATATGGAATAGAGAACTCTGGCACCTCTAATGAGGAACTAGTTTATTTAAGGCCTACAGAAGCATGAATCAGCAAAAAGATATATGAATGAACAGCTCATAATTTTATAGATAACATAGGCTTTGTTTGCATGGCATATTAAATAAAAAACGTATTAATAAACTGATACATTACGCTTTAACAATCCCCTGCCTGCATGAAGAATGGCTGTTCAACCAGAATCTTAAGTTTACTATGGTTGTCCAAGGTGAATCAGAAACCAGAATTTATAAGAAAGATTCATAGGTTTAAATGTAATTTTCTATAAATTCAAAAGGCAGCTGTTCTTGATTTGAAAGATACAGTCAAAACACTAATGGTTAAAGAGCTGCATGCAACGTAAGTAAAATGGTGGTATGCATATACACTTATTAAATGGACTTTTTGGTTTAGCATGCTATGCAACAGTGTCTGTAGCAAACTCTGGTGACATCACCATGCAAACGCTGTGATTATGCACTTGAGTCTCAATGTCTGATGTAAGTTGCAGCATTTGTGCAATGATGCTGTCAAACACGTTTCATTATTTGCCCCCTACAGTTGGTGATGTGAATACATCTAAAGAAAGATGCTTTAAATCAAGGCAAATAGTGGTGCTATGCAGCAAAGTATTGGCTCAGATATGTTAAATCATGGTTTGCTCCACTATGGTTCATTCAATAAGCCAGAATTAGTTGTTTGCAAACCATAATTGAGTTCACACCATGTGCTAAAGCAAACCAATGACACAACAACATAATAACCAATCTTTTCTAAAGACATATCCTCCAAATAATATAAAATTTTAATACTAATCTCAACTTTTGACCATCATGAATGGGAGTTATGGGATTTGAAATCCAATACTTCTGAGAGCATTAAGCTGGCAAAGACTAGTCTATACAATCGCAATGGTGATTCACCCTTGATTAACCAAAATCAAGCAAGCAATCCAGATTGTGGCTTAATAAAATTTGTAAAGCTACTCACTATACTTTGTAAAACATGGTTTATAAGTCATCCAAATGCAGGCATCCAAGAATAGTTAATTCAACAAATAATAATTTAGCTTAATGTGTGACCTAGGTTTTGGATGAAGGAAAAGTGTCCTAAAGGGTGTAGAATTCAAGAATAGCTACATATTAAAGAGCTAATGGAAAATAGGATAAAAGAGCTAGAAAAATACATAAAAAGAAAAGAAACACACTCACCCTAGAGAAAAGAGCAACTGTGTTCTTTACTGGGTAGACTTCACAAAAGTCTGTATTTTATATAGCACTTAAAAATACTTGGTTGGAGGTCATCAGGAAATACCAGAGCTGTAAGCTAGACTGAAAGTTGAAAAACATTCCAGAAGAAGGCAATGGCAAATCACCTTCAGACTTATTGCTAAGAACATTCCATGATCATTTTCATGTGGTCACCAGGAGGGCATCTTCACTTCATAAATAACCAGTAAAATATTTAGGTGCAGACTAAATCACACTGATAGAAGACAGCCTTTCTTTATATGTATAATTCCTCTCTTTATTTGTATTATTTTAAAACTGTATATGGAAGCCAAAGTTATTAATGTATTTTCAGATATGTAATCAGTAAAATGTGTACTTTCAGCCCAGCTAAGTAACTATCAGAATGTAACATTTTGGTGCCTCCTGAGTATGAAAATTTTGCTAGGCTTTCTCAATAATAATAAGGTTAACCAAAGTGAAGCCAAGATCAGAAAATACAGCTTGACATTTGTCCAAGTCACACAAAACAAGTGACTGGACTTATTAAACATGCAGATTTATAAGACATTTATATGACACATTTATATGAAAGAAGACAATAAATGCTAGGGATGCTGGCTGTATACATCAGGGGTTTTTTTGGGGGGGGTTAAACTTTGATATCAGAATAGGTTTATGGTCTCCATGGCCTTTACTATCTACTCCTGCTATACTGATCTTCAACTCATTATCAATTTGCTATTAAATCCCAAACCCAAAAGCTCAATATATGCCAGTCTAGCACTTAAATAAACCTCATGTTAGTGGCTATACACGTTTGATGGTTTGGAACTTCAGGATATAATCTTAAGGTTTAACATTGCAATCTTAGTATTAATTATCTAGGGATAAGCCTTATACTGATCTGAACCAGACTAAGAAAATATATAAGATGGTATTGCAAGCCATGATTAACTCTGTGCATGACCCAATCCCATAAAATGAAGAGATTGTAAAAGATTCACTTTGTACTGGAAGAAACTGGAAAAAGCATACATTTTCTTGTCTTCAGCTTTCTTCACAGAGGTTCTAATGTATACTTCTTCTCTAACTCACATTCCTACTCAATTCTTAAGTAATTCAATGAAAAATACCATCTTCTCTGGTTTGCAAATCAAAATGAAATTCAGTATTCAGCCTTAGTAGTTTTTATACTTTTCAAGATTATCTACATATTAGATAATACTGTATGTAGAAATGTTCTGTGTATGTCCCATTTTACAGAGACATGTATTATGTATATTGCTTAGTATATGTACAATAAGGGTAGAGCAAACCAAATTATGATTTGTGGTCATATGCGAATCCAGCCTATATTGGAGATGATATATTGCTAAGATCCACATGAAACTCTGAAAACATTCAGTGGAAAAATTTAGAAAATCCAAAAGAAGGCAAATACTTTTTCACAAACCTGCATACAGAATTACTCTCAATCCTGACATTACTTTTGTGTGCACTCCTGTCAAGTAATGTCAAAAGTAGTATTAGTAAGACTGCACCCACCTAGGGATACCTACTTATGAGGCAAATGTGCTTTTGAGATTCTTATTATGCAAGTATATTACTTATAAATGTCCACAGCTGTAAACATTTCCAACAGTAGTATTAACCTCTGAATAACATCTGGATGTATTCTACATACAAAATCAGAAATATCAAAAGCGGCACAATCTTGCATTACATGCTGCTGCTTTGATTCTGAAAGACAGAAATGGCAAGCCTGAAGATGTTTAATGCTTGTTTTCAGAATGTTTTTCCTGGTGATTTCTTCATCGTTTTAGAAACAAAAATATACTGGGCCAAATCTCTAGCTAAGCAGCATAAATATTTCCTAATTTTGGCATTGATTTACAGTTTTTGGACTCTTGAGGTTTATGTGTCTGTACTGAATCCCAATTTATGGCGTAATCTGTTTCAACCATGAAATACACGCTTTGTACATGCTTCCATGAGATTTTATGAAATGTTCCTGCAGCTGTTCTTAAAACTATCCCCTCCTCCTTGCAAGAGGGATGATTCTCCTCAGAATCTGAGTTCATAAAAAGTTCTTACTGAAAATATATTCTTAGTTCCTTATATTACAGTAGGCCATCGCCAGTCTCTTGGCATTACCTCATCATTTTCAGCACATAAAACAAGGAGTTGGCTCTCCAGACAAAACAAGGCATGCAAATATACATGAAATTCTTGATGGCATAATGCCTTTATGTGGAAAAACTAAAACCATTTACTTGTTAGGAATGAATGGCTAGTTAATTTGAGTTCCTCAGGTTTCATGCCAATGCAGAGGCTACATATGAAGCCCTCTATTTTCTCTACTTTTTAAAACCTATCCAATTCCAAGGCAAGAATGTTGCTGGCTGAGACATAGTGGCATTGTAACACTTTTACAAGCTTTTTCTTTCTCTGCAGACCAAAATTATCACTTGAATGATTTACAGTGCATTTCTTGTTTCACGCATGTAAATAGGGCTCTTTCAACTGCTTGCAATAATCCCCCTTTAGTAATTGCTTTACCCAAAAGCTCTTTATTATGTTCTGTATAATTGCTACTTTATAAACCAGTTACTCCTTTTAAAAATCTTTCTGCTGGAGGCTTTCAAACATAGCAATCATTAACAGCCAATTATTCTTGGTATTACCTTAAACCTAAAGTGTAAAAATATACTTGAGGTGGAGAACACACTGAAAGATAAAAATTCAAAATAGAATTAGTGTACACTATCCTATACAGGAAAAGAAAGAAATGCTTCCTTTATGATGGCAGTTTCAAGCTTTAAAAAAGTGGCCTTTCACTCTGTGTTAGGCCAAGAGTCCTCAAAATATCTTGACTATCCATATAGATGAAAAAAACCTGACTATTGCAAGGAACCATTACAAGGATTGTTTAAGAACTGGTTGAGGAATTTAAGTAACACATCAGCGAATGACTGTAGAAATAGCTTCATCGCTACCTCAGGATTTTTCACCCTTATTCTTTTTCTGTTGATCTTTCAGCTTCCTTTCTAGTCACTCCTGGCTATCAGACTGAAAATAGTATTGTGTTCCATCCAATCCAAATGTTATAGCATTCAGTTTTTAATTCTAAACTAAAAACCTGGGAGTAAATCAATTCACTGTGACTTTGAATATGGCTGGCTATTATCTGAAGGCTTAGTTCCAAAATAAGTACAGTCAAAAACAGGTTTGCCACTGTGGATGCCTTCCCTACTGAGTGCTTCCCTATCTTACACCCAAAGAAATCACAGCCTATGAAAGAAACTATAAAAGAAACTATAATTCCTGCAAAAAGTGTACTTCTGCAAGACAAACATTTGCAAAGTCTTGGCTCTTGCTTTATGTTTGATATTTTAAATATACTTTCAAAGCAACTTCTGGATACATCTAAACAAAGATTTTACATGAAGCAGTCACTACTTAACCACAACAGCATGACAAACACGCTTAATAATGAATAAATACTAGTGTCCCCAAATGCTTGAAAAATTAGTGTCCAAGACTCAGCTTTAATGACTTGTTTTGCCACCACCTTGCAGCCTGATTCGTGTTCAGGGGACTAATATCCTCACTCAAACACAGGAGCTGGTACTCACAGATAGTCAACCTATTTGTCAAAATCAGGGAGGGAAACAGCTAGTAGTGTGCATTTCACCCATCTTAAGTTTCTATGGTGCCACCCTTTTAAACACTAGGAATGCAATCCTATTAAACAACAACAGGTATTTCTAAACAACCCATGAATCATCTCTCTTTTTCTGTCACAGGCTATGACTCTTTTCTCCAAGTTGATAAATAAAAGAGCATGTAAGGCAGCCTCCTCTGGACAGATATTGCCCCATGCTAACTTGGATGATAGGAATTGCCTCAATGGCACCAGGATGGGGAAGACTGAGGTAGGGTAAATACTGGAGGGGGCTGGACAATCCTCTTCACTTTAGTGACTCCTAAAATCAACGAGAAAAAAGTGCCGAGTTTCTGCCTGTCTGTCTAGATGCAGAGGTGCCCACTGCGAGGAGGAGATGGGGTCATCTGAGTGCTCAATTATGGCGCCCTGTGGCGGAATATACATCATTAAATAGGCTGTGCCAGGAGCGAGTTTGCGGCTACCTGGATGAGGAGAAGCGCTGGGGCGTCCCCTAGCGGAGTCACGCCGAACGCCCTTTTCGTCGCTGAGCGGGTAGGAGAGGAGACTCATGGCCTCACCGCAGGTAGCCTCCACCTGCTGCACCTGCTCACGGCTGAGCCGCTCCCGCCAGGCGTGGATGGCCTCCCGCGCATCGCGGGCGGAGATAAGGAAGGGGCGCTCCGAGGAGTAGGCGGCCCCGCGGGTCATGTTGAAGATGAAGGCCTCGAGGGCGGGCGGCGCGGGAAGGTCCACGAAACGCAGTAAGCGGCGCAACTGGGCACGCGGCTCCAGCACCAGGTCCTCGTAGCGCACTTGCGTGTACCGGCTGCGCAGCCAGGCCGGGGCCCGGCGAGAGAAGATCAAGTCCCGCAGCCAGGCCTGGCAGATCACTTCGAGGGCGCCGCCCAGGAAGAATTCGGCTCGGTGCTGCGAGTGTGCTCGGACGGCTCCACCGCCGACCCCGGCGATTGCCGCGGCGGCCGCGGGCAGAAGGAGCTGCCGGCGGGGCAGTCCTCGGAACTCGGCGTGGTACCGGCTCCGCAGTACCTGAATGCTCTCCCGGAGCAGCCCCTGCTTGGCCTTGAGCCGAGAATTAT